TAAGTTCTACCAGGAACTCAGTGGTCATTAGGAGATCTTAGCTGTAAGTGTAGCGTTGCATTCACTAGCGCTAATTGAAAGCGTCTGGTCTGGCCGCCAGCGCGCAGCGGTCAACAACTTTAAAGTTGAAACTGTTGTACTCGGAGCCAGATAAATGTTACCCGATCCCAGTGCGATCGCCATGGGCTAAGAAATTGATAGTTTTGCTTTTCAGCAGCTTTAATTTAAGTTAAAGCACATTTAATTATTATTAATTTGTACAATTATTACAATCACAAGTTTTAATGAACCACAAAAGAAATTAGAAAGAGAGTATATGGTGTAAGATCACGCACACTATTGTTAGCGAGTCACATAAAGTGCAAAAAATAACAATGAGAGTCCTTAAAGGGCCCGTAAATCTGAGTTGATGCGTGCGCCGCGTTAAATAAAGGCTGGAGAGACTTATAGCACGTGAACACCTCATAAAAATGGTGATTTTATTGGGGTCGCACATGGTGCGAGGAGGTGAGCTTACAGACCAGGTGGTTGCTGCGTGATACATACTAACGGTCAACGAACATAATATAATATTATACAAACTTACACAAGAATTTGCCGGGGCGAAGTAAAACCCCAGTCGAAAGTAACTTAGATTGGATTAGAAAACTCATCACTGGACTTTGTCTTCTTCGAGCTAGTTCAGGTTAAAAGAATTCGTTAAATTGCAGTTTTTAAAAGTAAAAAGAAAGTAAGACACTAAACGCCGATTCACGCGCCCTAATTGAAACAAACTCAGCTCAAAGTTGTTCGTTCACAAAGGCGACCAACTTCGAGTCAGCAAAAAGCGGCGCGGCTCGATTCCACGTAAACCTTCATTTTGCCGCGTTATACGACCGATGATTTAGTGGAGCGAATTTTTCGCGCCCACGATCCCTCTCCGTCTCGTCTAATAGTTGCTGAATCGAATATTACACAGATGCCGACGCTGAGCGCCGGTAGCGCCGGTGTGCGCGCCCTCCTGAAGGGGACCGCTCAAATTGCATTGGCCGGTCGCGACGGAGAAAAATAAAAGAAAATTATCGCCCATCTCCGAACTACCCAGGGAGTATACCACTCCCTGGGTAGTAAAGAATTATCTCCGTAAATAGTGTCAGGCGATGATTTATCCCGGGCGTCAGTTTGAGAGGCCGCGCCGTGACAGACGAGGTCCCGCGGCGCACACGACGCGTTCATCACAATTTTTCACTTAGCTCGCCGCGCGCCGACCGCCGCGTACTTCCATTATCCTTCACGCAAACAACTTTGCACTTCATTAGCGTGCCGAGGTCGCAGTCGTACCGATATTGAAATGCTTGCTATGTCGGTGAAATTATTCGACGAGGGCAGATGTTACCGAGAGTATTTCCCTTAAGAATTTCGTTAAATCCGTGGAGGAGGGCGTGCGCACTCAGCTGTCAAAATTATTACTCGCACATGTCGGATAGGTGAGTCTAAGTTCAAGCAATATTGTTTTGTTCATTCACACGAGAAAATCTAGAGAAAATTACTATTATCGAGTGACTGCGATGTGAACCGAATATTGTATTATTATTTATTTATTTATTTATTTATGCTTTATTGTACACAATTAAATGAAGTTGGTACAAAAGGCGGACTTAATGCCATATGGCATTCTCTACCAGTCAACCTTTGGGTCAAATGGAAAATCTGCGAATAATAGGTACGAGAAATATGTTTATACGAATTTAATAGAATAAAATATTAAAAGACAATACTATATAGATACAATCCAAAAGTGATAAGATAATACATACTGTATATGTATATAGAATGTTGCATATTACGAACAATTAGATATGTATATATATGCCTACTGTATAAATGTATATAAACAAATAAAACATATTGACGAAAAACCTTAGATATCAGCATTGCAACGATTTAAATAAAGTTTATAAACCTCACGCTTAAAAGTAATTTTGTTTGGAGCCTTTTTAATTTCGGGAGGTAGCTTATTCCATAGCTTAATTGCACCAACCGCGAAAGAATTTGAAATGAAGCAAGTACGGTGGGAAGGGATCTCTAGAAGCAGGTTTTCAGATGCACGTAGACTTCGGCTGTGAGAATTGCCAAGAACCCGAAAGTATGATTTTAAATATCCGGGAGCATATGGGTCGTTTAAAATAGAAAAAAGCATGGAGAGGGATCTGAAAGATCTCCTCTCACGAATAGGAAGCCATTCAAGCTGAGCGCGAAAGGAAGAGATGTGGTCGTACTTACGAAGACCGAAGATAAAGCGGATGCAGTTATTAAGCATACGATCCAACTTGTTAAGAAGGTCTTGGGATAGATCAGAGTAACAAACATCAGCATAATCAATTACAGGAAGCACAAGGGACCGGACAAGCAGAGTTTTTATAGTAGGAGGAAGAAAATTTTTGAATCTGTAGAGAGATCGCAGCGTAGCAGTAACCTTCCGACAGACCTGCGTTATTTGAGGGTTCCATTTCAGGCTACTATCCAGGTATAATCCTAAGTCCTTAACGTTAGAAGATAGAGATATGATCTTATCGTTATATAGAATCGATTTTAGCCGATTTACGTTCAATTTTGCTAGGTGGTACGTACTACCAAGGATAATAGCCTGACACTTGCTTACATTCACTGGAACTCCATACTTGTAAGACCAGTTTTGGATGGTACGTAAGTCACCATTAAGTCGTTCTATACAAGTGTCCAAGTCAGTCGCATCAGCCTGAGCATACAGCTGCAAGTCATCAGCGTATAGGTGGTACGAGCATGTGAGGAGACTAGTAATGGAATTTATGAATAAGGAAAACAACAGAGGAGAAAGTATACCGCCTTGCGGTACACCAGTTGGCAGCCCACACCAATCAGAGCATTCTTGACCGACGCGTACCGCCTGCTGGCGACCGCGAAGATAACTAGAGAACCAATCCCGAGATGACGACGAAATTCCAGTCTGAGTTAACATGGCAAGGAGGATATCGTGGTCAACCGCATTAAAGGCGTTGGAGAAGTCGATTAAAACTAAAACAGTTAACTGCGAATCCTCCATACCATGCCTCACATCTTCTGTGACTTTCAGCAAGGCAGTAGAGGTGCTGTGACCAGGTCGGAAACCAGATTGGAAAGGGGACAGGAGTTTGTGCTTAGAGATGTACGAGGATATCTGTTTAAGGACTACTGTTTCAAGGATTTTAGATAGGTAGGGGAGAATCGATATAGGCCTGTAGTGACTAGCCTGATTGGGATTTGGAATTTTCGGAATGGGCATAATGTAGGCTTTTTGCCAGACTGAAGGGAATACACCGTGGAACAATGAAAAATTTACTATATGAGTAAGTATGGGAAGGAGGTGCTCAATGGTGAGAGCAATCATGGTACGACCCACCCCGTCACAGCCGATGGCCTTGGATTTCAGTGATGCAAAGGTTCTGCGGATCTCGAGGTCATTTACGGGACTAAAAGAAAAGGTTGCAGGCAGCATCGCAGGTTTGGAAGTGATCTCGGAAATAGTACTCTGTTTGATATTATCCGCTAAACCAGAGGTGGTCGAAAAATGCTGGTTGAGATCATCGAGGGATATATTTGAAGATGTAATACCTGATGATTTACCAAAACCCAGAGATTTAAGAAACTTCCATATGTCAGCCTGAGAAGAATTTTGAACATTTTCAAAAATGTATCGGCGTTTAGCAGCTCTCACCATCCCATTACACCGATTCCTCGCCAACTTGTACTGACTCCAGTTCTCGTCACTACGATCTCGTTTATATCGAGAGAAAGCTCTGTTTCGTCGCCTCATGGCCATACGAACTCCCGGTGTGATCCATGGAGCGGGTGGACGACGAACACGGACCGCCTTTAATGGTGCGTATGTATCAAGAAGCGTCACGATAGCCCGACTAAAATGGTGAACTTTCTCATCGATACATTTGGATTGATACATATTTGTCCAGTCAATGGACTGTGCCTCGCTGTTGAGTTTGACCTTGTCCAACCTTGCAAAATTCCGTAAATATACAAGAGCTGGGCGTTGCTTCGGTGGCTTAATTTTGTACGACAGAAAAATTAAATCGTGTCTTGATAATCCCGGAGCCGCAATTTGTCCATGATTAGCCACGAGTTCCGAGGAGGACACAAGCATAAGGTCTAACCAGGAGTCATCGGAATCAATATTGCAGTGAGTTGGATTTAGAGGGAGAAGCGTCAGGTTCGCCGATTCCAGGATCGACCGCAGCCCACGCGACCTCGGTCCAGCCTTCAAAAGATCGGTATTAAAGTCACCCATGATAATGTGATGCTTGTACTCTGAGGAGAAAGAATCAAGAAGAATCTCTAGATGAGTAAAATAATTGACAGCAGGTGGGCAGTAAACAACTCCAAGAACAGCCTTAGCTCCTCCAACATCAACTTCTAGAATCAAGTATTCAGGACATCCACTCACATAAGTAGAAGAGAAAATAATATTATATGGGATATCGTTGCGAAGAAATATTGCCACGCCCCCTGCCCTCTTTCCAGTGCGATCATTTCTGATTAGTACAAAACCGGGTAGGCTGTACGATGTAGAAGGATGCTCAGGTTTGAGCCAACTTTCGGATATCAATATTGCATGGAAAGAAGTGTCAGAGAACATGTCCATCAACTCCGAATGATGTTGAGGAACACTTTGGGCATTAATGTGGCAAACATTTAAACATTTGCGGTATTTTAGACATGCTTCATTCAAAACTCATTCAAATCGGCAAGCTGTCTTCAAGGGAGGAAAATGAGTCAGCAGAACTGTTGAATGCCGTAATAAAAGAATCGTCGTCAGACATAAATATATAATATAAACTATATAGATTTTAAACTAAGTAATAAAATTAAAACAACTAATATGACAAAATAGGAGCAATAATAATATATTTATTGTACTACAGAGGTATACCTGCTCAATATATGAGGATCTTTTCAGCTGTAAAATATGTTTTCATTTCATTTATCATCAGGCGGAACGAAGAATACCACTTCTTTAGAATAACATCTGCCTTTGTGATTCCTCACTATTCGAGGACTAGCGACCAGTACTTTAGCGTTACACGAGACTCGGAGCATATTGTACTGCCAGCAGTGCCTACTTCAGTACAAGTATGTGAGTAGCCGTGAGTTTGTTAACACTTTATTATTTTCATTCATTACAATTTCGGTAACAAATTTAATTGATCTAAAAAACGTCTACATTTGTTATAAATTATTCTTAAGCAGTCACGTAATACAAATGTACTTATAATAATACTAAGTAGTCGCCCACAGAGGCCACAGAGAGCAAAGTTCGCAACACGACGTCACCTTTAAAATGCAAATATATTTCAAGTTAAACTCATAGTTATTATTCTTCAAGTTACGGGTGAATAAATCTTTTCAGACTGTTTAGAGTTTAATGTAAACCTGAATAGTCTCGAATTCAAGTCTCAAATATAATATTATCTTCCAAGAATAATGTTTTGATTTACAACAGGCGATTAATTCATCATTTTTGCGTTTAAAAAGTCACGGAGTTCGATATTTCTTACGAAATAGCTCGTGGAGCAGCGACCGAGATACTAACAACGTTATAATGGACGGATAAACTAAAATATACACATTCATATCAAATATATTAATTTGTAGTTTAAATATAAATAAAGACTACAGTCGTCGTAGTTACCTATACATGGCACGGACTACCGGCTCGTACACGTAAGCGGGTACTCCTTAGTATACTAATATGGTTGACTTTGAAAGCAGTGCAGTATTGAGGGAGCTTAATCCGCAAAGTGTCGGGGAGCGAGGAGTACTGAGGAGTGGCTTAGCAAACACACTGACACCGGCCTGACACTGCGGCTTACTGTAACACAGGCACACTGACACCACATCGGTTAACTGGAACTAACTGCTTCAGGTTTACTAATTGTACATCATCTGTTTTGAAATACCTAATTTTGAAAGTTGATCGGAACAGCAACTAAGAACAGGTATTGCGATCTATTACCAAAGATGGGAATAGACACAGAAGTATTTTTTAGAAGATTCCTCATCATCTTCCTGCCCTTGTCCCATTTTCTTTGGAGTCGGCGCAATATGTTTTCTGTAACATGCGTTCCATCCCTCCTTTTTACATGGCCATACTTGGCGCCACTTTCAAACTTCCTGTAATATACTCATTTCTCACTTTATCCATTCTCGTCACACCACACATCCATCTCAACATTCTCATCTCTGCTACATGCAATCTGCTACATGCATTCGTCTTTTTCAGAGCCCAACATTCTGACCCATACAACCCATACAGTAGGACAGGCCTTATCATGCACTTGTAGATTTCTAGACGATTCGTATGATAAAAATATAAAAAAGCTAGGTTAGGCCAGTTTTAGCCAATTGATGGAAATACTGTTCACTGAGAACTTAAACACAACCTAACAATTTAGATATATTATACCATTATGCTTTTGTAGCGCCGCAGTTGCCGTGTCGCGCGACAGAACGACTGCCGCGTTCCATTTCACGTGCCAGCGGATGCAATTCCCCGGGTTGAGATCCAATAGAACGACACGACGACACGGGTGACGATCGCTTATCGACGATAGAAGCAAATCTATGTCTTTTGTACTTCACGAACACGAGAGATTTATTGTTTCATCAAATTACATATTAACTTTATCATAAGTCAGAAAATAAATTAAAACCAATCACGTTTCTATGATTTCACTTTGTATTGCTTTTTGCTTCGACTTAGTTATATTGAAATAACTTACAAGCAAATAAATAGGTATGTGAAGTACGTCAGAAAAAGTTCTGAAGAGTAATTTAATTTAGAAAATACTCAATCCTTGTTTACTTTCGTAAGTGAACTAAATGAAAGCTTTATTAAAACAAGTATTTATTGAAATATACCTAGGTACAGCCAGCTGAGATTTTAATTTAAGCTAGGAAGATATTTACATTGAAATAAAAAGAGAAATATTCTACTTATATCGTACTATGAAATAGAATATTTCTTAATAAAGCAATTTCCATAATTGTGTACATTTGAGAGCACCATTACAGGAGCGGCATGATAATGAGCCGTCTCGTTTTACACAATTACGATATGCATGGTAAATATTGAAAGAGCATTTTTTCACACAATCAACATTTTTTAACGATGAGAAAAATCACGATATTGAAACAAGAAACCAATTAATTTCCGCTGATTGGCAAAGATTTGAATATCCTGTTAACAAGCTCCGACGAATAAAAACAAAAAGCAGAGAGCGAAGAATTTAAAAAAAAAAGTTTTTTACAAATACATTCCGTCTGACTGAGTCGGCTCCAAGAGATGTATCCAACGTGTCGGTATGTTTAAGACTCTGTATAAAGTTCAATTTGAATAACGTATCCCGGCAGCAGCGCGACAATGGTGTGAATTGAAACGAAGTAATGTGCGCGTTTCCATAAAGTGAGTATTACTTCCACGGGGCTGTAACGAGCGCGCAGTCGCGGCCGGAGAGCGAACAATTTCGTAAAACTATGTAAGCACATAGCCGAGTCGAAACCCGCGCGGGGACCGTTCCGTGGTACAATGGTCGGCCGCCGGCACCGTGTCGCGCCGCTGCCGGTGATAACGGCTCGCGTTACCGCGCCCTGATATTCCTTTATCTCGGCCGTCTCGTTACGAATGCGATCCACTTACGATACGACAATCGCGACTTCCTTCGCAACAATTCGCATTATCGTAAATTTAAAGTACAGACATTTGCAATTTATGAGAAGCGAATCCCAAAATCGTTTCTAATGTGAACAAAACTCCATTGTATTCAGGAGATTAGCCTTGTACAGTAACGAAGATAATCTACAAGTCATTTCGGATGTAATGTTTGCTTAGCGTAATTATCATGGGCGTAAGACGCCGAGAGACTACTGTAGGACTAATGTGTGTCGCCTACAGTTGTTATAGAGTGAGTTTCGTAATAACACAATAGCGAGCAAAGGGCATTAGCGTACATTTATTAGCCAAAACATTTTGAAATTGACCTTAATCTCGTGTAATATGTACATATATAAAAGTGCAAAGGTGTAATACAATTATACAGATTGTCCGAAATAAACGCACGCAGCATATGACAATATGTAACCAGCCGGCCGGGCTACACACCATCACACCAGACTCCCACGAGGCCGAAGGAAACACATCTTTCTGGTAAGTACCGAGTTTACATAGGACTCGGATCGCTAAATTAACCAAAAGGTCGGCCGAACAAAAACAAGAATTTGATTAGCATTTGAAGCAATTTAACCAAAGTTCAGGCAGAATACAGATGAGCTGATGTTACTGACTGAATATTGCCGGCACTCGGGACAACTGTCCACAAGAATTGCGCGGCGCGTTTGTCTCCAGGTAACTTAAATCTCATTCCAAATTATTAACATACTATTGAGGAATAATATTTTTTTGTGTTTTCTACATCGTGTTAAATATTATAATTTTCGACGTGTTCTTTTTCATTGTATTCACAGCGATAATCATATTTTACAAGACGAATACAACTGTTAAAGCTTTATTTACTTAAACCCCCAGGAGACATGGGACGTTATCGACTGATGATGTTCTGAAATAGCGGTTGAAGTAATACAATTGTATGAAAGTAGGCTGTAGACATGTTTCCCGGCCAGCACTGAGTACACAGCGGAGCGTGACACTAAACCAGGTTCACAACATTTTTGTTTCGAGGTCGAAGACCTTCGTCACTATCGCACACAATAACTCACTCAATATAACTATGATTTGAAGAAGCCTACTATTATACAAGTACTTCTATAAGTCCTGTCATGTTACAACTGTATTTTATTTTCATTACTTATATAATTTAAGGAACTAAAATGATTTCTAAATCGATTAATAATACATACTAAGTACATGCCATGTTAACGTATGTATGTAGGTACTATACGGCTAGAAATAAAAAAAACATTCAACATGGTCGCAATCCTTCTGCAGCTTGGCTAACGTTATTAGGATCGTAGAACCATTACGAACTACTTTAAATGCAAATGGAACCTCAATACACGTTTGTAGATATTGAGTTGGAACACAAGTAACCGTTGTTATAAACTATTGTTATTATCCTCCGTGTAGTAGCCATCGAACATACAGCATTAAATAAGAGAGAGTGAATTCAAGTATGTAAATATAAATAATATATAAATAAAATGTATAAAGTAAAATGTTTGATAAAATACTAAAAAAAGACTTCACAAATTTCACGTTTCGTGCTACGCTCTGCGCTACGGCGTAGCAATGGCCACGAGCTGCGACTACGGCAAGCGGTTCCAACCGCTACGAAATGTATTCAAAGGTTTTTGTGCGACGTGCATTTTAGCTTAAGATGAAACGAATTTAATACAACATCCATTCGTATGTGCAAGACGTCTTAAGGCGAAATGCAGATGAACAGTCACAAATGTGTATACACACTCGTATATAGATTTTACTTTATATTCAAATGTTTAAGGAAGAGTTCCAAGTTTGTAATATTCAATGTTAAGGTTGTTATTTGCCATTTCCCTGTACATTTACTTCGTGCAAGTTTTCAGTAGGTCACGCTTACAGTACACAGTATGTTTTACAGTACCGTCGCGTCGCGTCCGCTGTAAAACTGGAGCACTGACACTAAGTTTGTAAATAAGGTTCGATAACAATGCTTACGTCACGCCTTCATTCTTTGTTATTTTTATTTGCAAATCATATTTTTAAAGAAGTCTTATAAATATTCAAATCAATAATTTAAATGCAGTAAAGCTTGATGCGTAGCTTCAGAATAACATGCCTCACGATACAGCACAGAAATGTTCATAATAATAAATAACAAACATAATATTTAATACGAGTATTTACTTAACGAGTATATTTACCGCAAGTACATACTGCGACGCCAAACAAACCGAGCAGTATGTCAATACTCGCTCAGCTCCGTGTAATTTTTTTCCATAGTGAACAAAGGGTCTGTTTTCATTGATATTAATAAATTTCCTTTTATGCGGCGCGACACGTTTCCGTCGACAGCGACACCGGCACACACACACATATATATACAGGTACTTGTCATCATCGCACTCGTATTAAGTCAGGTGCTGCTTAAACCCCCTCCCCTGGCCGTCTCCTCGTCTTCCCCGAATGCTCACAAATTAGCCACGACCGGCTGGCTCCCGATGGGAATCTGCCGGCTCTCAGCCCCTCAACAGCGACAGACAAATAATAAAATTATTCATTACTGTGTATTTTCTTCGTGAGAATACGTTTTCATAAAATAAGCTTAAATTTTTTTTGGTCAAATTAAAACACGATGGTAGACTTTTTGTATTACTATGGTATTACGCATTGTTATAATTAGGAAAGGGATTTATTCACTTCAGCTCTGATATAAAAACGAGAAAGCTGTGTTTGATTTATGTATTTGAGGAGGGGTCTAACTCTTTTGTGTTGTAGATTGTGCCAACGAGTTCCATGACTTGTTGCCCTTTGTTGGATTCCTCCTAGTTGCTGAGGGCCTGGTACAATGGCTTGGTGAACTCCACCGCTTGGATCTGATTTAGATTTCGGCTTGGTTCACTGAATTGTATTATTAAAAGCAAAGTTGCTTAAATGAACAGAGAACAGGCTGAGTTTGTGCTTTTTTTATTTTAAAAACCTTCATTTCATCAGTATTTTACTCATAGAAACAACAAAACATCAAAATAAAGTGACATGGTTGCCCGCCTAAATGTATCACCTAACATTGGAAAAAAAATCTTTCTAAAATATTAATATATCTATGAGGATATCGAATTTGCGTCAGTGTCGATTGGTGTATAACCGAGGTTTCCGTTAAAGAGCGGATCCCTCGACTTTATCGGGAATCGAATTTGGGACCCTCGAGCTACCTAAATTGATTTACCCGTGCCCTTCCAATCGCGAGGTTACGCGGATTTCATTAAATCTTAATACATATCATTTTAGTGTTGGTACCTAACATACGGTCACTTTTTATTTGGTAAGCCACGATTTTATCACTTTTTTACCAAGTTTCATACAGGAAATTGTATTGAATTAAAACTCTACTAAACAGATTCGATAGAGAGCCTGTTATGCCGCCAGTCCGACACGTCATTATGTCTATTGACTGCCTCGTTCCGGCATGACTGCAATAGATCATCGTATTGTTTGTATGTATGCTGTATGCAACCTCCTAATTACTACCATGCATATATTGGATACGTGCACTAATTGCGAGCGGCGTTTGCTGAATATTTTGTGCGAGCTAATGACCTGTACGTGGTGCATCACTGTCGATAATGGGTTAGAAAACTCTTCCATTAATTCGTTATTCACACAAAACTGATATGTATGTTTTGAAACGACATTTACAAATTGCTATTTGGTAAGTAATAAATATCTTTCATTACCCTTTGTAAATTCCGTAGTATTTCAGGTAGTGACAAGTAGCTTCGTCGCGAGCGGTTTCAACACAAGTGTTTTCCGACGAGTGGCCACTATCGATCCCGACACGCGATCCATGTCGATCACGGGCGCGCACTCGACGGCCGCAGCCGAACTTTACGATTGTACGTGCTTACTGACTGAATGACTGACTGAATTTAACTAGTCACTATATTCACTTACTAACTTAACTTTAACATTTCATTCACTATCAGACTTGGTGAAAATTACATAATCAATAAAACATCTAAACACCAGCTTCCATGTTATGACTACTGAACTAACCACCACTGTTTGATATATCGCAAATAATTATAAGGAGACCGAATAACTACATACTTAAGTGTTTGTTTAACAGTTGGAATTATGAGTAACCTACAAAAAAAAACTGATTGTTGAAGCCAGTATTATTAGAGATAAGGAAGCTGAATTTGCATTCATCGGCTTTTTTTACAGTATTTACAAGAGAGGAGGATGTGAGGGAGCACGTAGCGACGTCGCTTCCCGGCCGAGGGAACTCTTTGTTTTCTAAATGAAGTGTTGCCACCCGCGGCCACAGCATGGCCCTGTCTCTGACTCTGATAAAATACTCTGCCCGATTTAAATGGGTGTTCGGGGTATTTGCGGGCGGCCGCGATCAGAATCCGCACTCGGACCACGGCCCGACGCCTCTTCGACGCGCTAAGCTGATAAATTGTAAGAAGTCGTCTAGGTTTGCGCAAATAGTTTATTTTCAAACAGAGTCGTTAATCAAGTAGACGCAGCGGACTGAAATAGTATAGCGTGTCACAGTCAAACGAAACCCGACTAATGTATCACGTGTTTATTCATTTTGTAAAATTGCACGTTGTCCGTGAAATTACATTGGTAAAATTAGTCACTACTAAGCAATGCCTCCCTCGATTCCCGCAAAACGTTCAAACTGTGTCGACCTACATAATTTACAGTATTTAATATGCAAAATTAAATAAAAGATAATTGAAGCGGATTACAGTGCGGCTTGTAGATCACGTAGTGTGTCGCAGCTCTGCGATAGCTCCACTGTAATGGCCGCTGGGGGTTGAATTTTAATGTTTTTCGAGGTAGCCGACCGCGGCCGGGCAATACCTACTCACTACCATTTGAATTTTATTATGGTTGCTGCGTGCTGCATGGTGTCGTACGTGGCGCCACCCTGCGTTTACTTCGGATACTAAACCTCTTCACGAAGGGTCTTCATAAAAACAATTCGTGTCTCGCTTGCGGGAAATGCTGTTTGCAATTTCCTCGGAATCCGGAAATAAACGCTTTATATGAAAATATCCCGAGGCTTTTGTTTAAATCTTATTTGATTGAACGAAGGTAGTAGTTATTGGGGCTACGCAAGTATACATATTACTATATTAACTTCCGAAATTACTTTTCGTTTTCAATTCATCACTTACAAAGGCTGCAAAAATATTTTTTCTTTTTTATGTGACACAGGGGCAAACCATCAAGCGGATTACTTGATGGTAAGCAATGATGCGTTGCCGGCCTTTTGGGGAAACAGGGTTTTGGGATTTAGAGATTGGGGAGGAATGATTGGGTCTCCTGTAACCTACTCACACGGCCAAACATAAGGCTGTGGGCGTTTCGCACCGGTCTAGCCGGCCCATTCGTGCCAAAGCATGGCTCACCCACATACATATTTAGCTTGTGGCAAATATTTGCCATTTTTCCAGAAGATATCAAGAAAATTGAGTCAGTTTTAAGTGTTTATAAATTTAATAAGCACACGCACGCGACCCGGGCACCGGGCGGCAACGGAGCGGCCGCGGGGTGCGGGCGGCGGGCACGCCATAACCTACCATTCATTGTTCCGATTAATAATATATATCCGTGGAGCGCACCTTCATTTTATTACACTTTTATTGTAAAGATATATGACCTGGTCAATGGAATGGATTGATACGATGTATTATAATAGCTGTTCCATTTCACAGTAACACGGCTATATTATTATGATTGTTTAAGTTAAGTTAGTTTGATTAACATTGATTGAGGGTTTTTATTCAAATGCCAATAAATTATTTAAACATTTTTATCTTTAGTAGGTTTAAGTTTCATGGCTGAATTTAAAATGTCATATTGGACCAAGCAACAAAATGAAAGCCACACATTTTGAACCAACCAAAATATAATAAAAGTGGATATCGTTAACGCGTGCCCGTTAAATTAACTCGATAGATACCAGGGGCGGTGAAGCGCTGAAGCGGTGAAGATACGGCAATTCAATCACGCGGCCATTACGCCACACGTCGTCGTCCCTAGTTCGCTCCTCCCGCCCCTCGGGCGATACAAGCCAGAGGGTGTGGATCGGTGCCCTTGCGAAATTGCAAATGCACCTCTACACTGTTATGACGTTCTGGTACATTTATTGCATATTTTTGACTCAAGATCAAACCTACTTTCGTTTCAAAATTTTCGCTAAAATGAATATAAATTAAGTATGTATTTTGAATAACCATTATGCTAATAAACTGTTGATAATAATAAAAACAATTCATGAATAACGAACTTACTCAACCAAAACAAACATTTTTCCTCACGAGTGTTGCGGAACAATTTTTGATGGTGTACTTACCTGAAAAAAAAAGAAAACGTCAGCTTAGTACACGTACTTACAGTACACGAAGTTGAACCTTTATATTCCTAAACGTTAGACCAACTCTTTCTTAAGCGCGTGTGTGGTTTAAAACTTCTACTCATTCTCTACAAATATTATTTTGAAATGTTTGTTTTCTTTCAATTACAATTATACGAGCTTCAGTTTAGATATTTTTTTAATTTTCTGACCTCACATTTACCCGGCGCCACCCGCCTTCAGTAGGCATTTCTCACCAAATTCAATAAAGTAAATCATGAGACGCTTTGGTACCAGGGCAGCATCATCACGTAACAATACCGCAGTGCAGGCGCCGGCCGCGGTCGTGCCATGCGCCGCTGGACTGCACAAAACTGTCCCGAGAATGCGACTTTCTTTTTCTTCTCACAAAAATGCTCTTTTATAGTTTCTTCTTTTATGTTGTTATGAAACTTAATTAAAAATTCTTTGTTGAGGTAACTGCACTGAACTCAAATGAGATACTTTGAGTTATACAATTCTGTACTGAAACAGTTTATAATACACAAGTAATGAAACTTTTGTTTAGTAGGGAAAGTAGACGTATTGTTCGTAACTGTACCCACGGAGCAGACAATTCAAAACGTCAGAACGGTCAAAATTTACTTGTGTAAAACCTTGAAACGTGCTTCGACAATGGACAAAAACAAAGAAATAAAATATTCGCAGGGTCACAGGGGGCAAGTTTAAATAGAGCCTTGTAGACGTCACTTGTAAAGCAAATTGAAGCTGTAAATGTTACCGATCGCGTCGAGTGCCGCGTGCAATATAGCGAGCGTAATAAAAACGTTGTAAACACCCGAGGGGCGGCGACGAAAATGAAAAAGAAGCATTTACACGAGCTGTAAACTGGCGACTTATTCATTTAAATATCGTAAATAGCAGTCTCCTTGCGGGTGTACGGATGCTTATTAATAAGCTTCTCTGTAATAGGAGCTGAGTCGCGCGTCGTTGTTAGCACCTAATTTTCGAAACAATAAAAATCTTTTATTAATGTGTAAATACATATACGTAGGTATTTAAATATCAGCCGTCTGAAATAAATTTACATCCTATTAAAAGCTACACACATACTCGTTTCAATTCTACTGTGTTAAATATATTAGTTATAAATGCGTTAAGTTAGGCAAGTAAATGACATGAAAAATAAGCTAATTTTGTGCAATAACTCTCAAAACGAACAAAAGAAATGTAAACTTGCATCATGAGACTATTTTCGATTTTTCTATATTGTATTTGTGTCATTTATGTAGCGCAGTGTCGCGAAGGCCACAAGACGCTAAAATCTCGCGCGGTGTTATGCGGTGTGACGAGGGTTGTCGACGTGCCCGCTGCTAAATTGCGAACAATCTCTGTTGCGCGCTTGATTTCCTGGTACTTGCAATGATGTTAAATTACCCGAGTACATTCTCCTTCAAATAAGTAAATACCGATTTTATTTATAATGATTCATTTACTATAAAAATATAGTGAATTAATAGCATTGTTGGTTCAATTAAAGACCCCGATAGTGCGATTTCTTACTCAAGGAACTTTGCATTAACATGTCCACTGTACAATCATATTGTTGTGTTTATGTGTATTATGAAGTAGTGAACAGAGCCGGCGTAGGGTTGCGGATAAAACAGACAGGTTCCCGCGTTTCTGTTTCCAATTATTCAGAGTCGGCGTCGTATCACGACAAAACTCATCTAACTTTCGGCCGCGGCGCGCGAACGCCGCGTGCAGATGTGAATAATTCTACAGAATTTCGGTGAAATTTCGCGAAAACTCCTCACGTTATGAGGCGAGAAGTTTTTTTCGTTTCTATATAATCTCTGGTGTGTGAAGAGGGTTTAATTTTGTGTTATCTCGAGTCGAGTGTTATCGCAGTAATTCATTCGTAAGGCACGAGAACTGTTTGTTTTGATTATATTTTGGGCCGAGAAATTTGTAATTGGGTTGAATAAAATTATTGTAATTCAGCAGAATATACAGGTAAAAACGTAAGCGAAGCACTCGAATATAAAACTGTCAAAATTATTATGAAAATATTTTGATAGAATCATGTGGAGAGAGCGGCGCGCATCTATGTGCGGTGCGAACGGCGACACGCGACAGTTAGCTACCAGCCACTTGTCGCGGAGTATTTATTTGCGGAAGACAGGCATCCGGCACGGCTCCGGCATTCGCCGCCCGCCGACGAGATTGAAAACAATTTCCTTCGCGACAGATGTCTACAGTTCCATCGATACGTTGATATATTTATTTACGTTGCTTCCTATTTATTGCTTCTTTTTCTCAACATTAATCTTGTCGTTTCTACTAACAACCGATACTTTCCGCTCAAGTCACAACTTTTCAACGCGCACTCAACTCCGGGATTCATTTAAAAGTTTTCTTGCTGATTCCTTTCCTCTTAAATGACCATTATTAGTTCATTACAAAACACCAAATGGTAGATATTGCTGGGTAGCTCTTGTTGGCACCAGTCAGAACGTTTCTTCCAACAAATACAACGGAATTAATTGTATTAAGTAGAGAAGAAACAGTACAAGAATAAAGATGTCTGCCTGGCCGGCGGCCCTTGTTGGCGCATAATAATTGTGCCGCTAAATGAAATTAAGTGTCGGCCGAGTCGAGCGGCACTCCTTCACTTATACACAATATACACAAGCTCGTTTGTTGGACGACTCCTTTTCATGCTAATTTAATTTGTCGCCGACTTTCAGGCCATTTTTGGCAAGACTTTGTATTGCTTCTCTGTAAAAAGCTATGGCGGAATATTATCTTGAGCGTAGCACTTAACTACGGTGTGTAAGTAACCAGATATTTCACAAAGTACCAGATGAATTATAACATCATTAAATGTTTTACGAAGAGTTTCAAATTATTAAAAAATAAAAACGTTTAGGACTAACTACGGTACGGTTGTGAATGACTTCGTTATTGCCATGGCAAATGGCACTTGGACTCCTTGGGTTCCCCCAACTGAGCGACCAAACAGTTCTGGACAAACTTTTCTAATTTTCAAAAACTTTTTAACTTTACAGCTTTCCCCTTCCAGAGCTCAGGTGTTTGCGCAGCGGATCTAATCACAATAATGGTTATTAAATCAGTTGACATGGCTGACACCGAGATAATGTCAGATTAAACTAAGTACGAAGATGAGAGCTGCTCAAGTTATAAATTAATTTAATTTGCTTTTGTTTGCAAACTCGTTACTAATGACTATTAAAATTGGTTAGGTGAAGAGTCACCGCATCGTGGTCACTCTGATATGATCTGTGGAATGCACGTCACGTCCGGCTCCAGGCAACAATTAGCAGAGTGGAAAACAAACAAAAAAAAACAGACTAGATGTCGCGCGTGTACCGCCGCTCGACACGCGGATTCCGTGAGAAAAATAAACCAAAAATATACAAAATACGTTGCGGCGGACGTGATCATGTTAAAATGGCGAAATGTACATACAAAGTGAAGGTTCGGACTGGATTTGTTTGTTGTTTTTATATTATTTCTCTTACATGAACCGCAACGCTTCCGGAGGCATTATCTTTGCATGCGTTACTGGCTGAAACAATGGACGTGGCCAAATTCTGTGTCATAATATTTAACATTGCTTTCGCAATCCACGTCCAATGAAAAGGGGAATGCAATCCATCAGGAGTCTTCTGTAACACCGTGCACTATGCATTGTTCATCTATATATCACTTATCTTTGTGTATTCAAAACGTTGTAATAAATTACTAGTTTATAATGAGAGCAGACCTGTTTATTTTAAAAACACATAAAGTTTATACCAAGTTAATCCAATGAGCTGCTTTAAGCGCTGTGTACTCGGAGGTGATATTAAAACACGCTTCATGGGCCATGGGTACTAATCGATGAGTATATAATTCAAAAACAAACTTTACGAAAATAACACACGCACAATGTTTAATTATCAAATTGATTGGTTATTACTTTAACCAATCAAATTAGAGACAATCGTATAGAAGCAGAGCAAGAATTTGCCATCAGCGATGTTCTCAGCAAACACGTTTAAATAAGTAAGTCGTGTGAGGCACCATTGACAAAGGACGCTCAGTGTACCAAAATAAACAGATACCTCACTCATCCACAAAAACTAGAGCAGACAGACTAAATTAGAATTGAAGACTCCTTGTTGGTCTGAGATGTCGTGATAAGTGTGTGAGTGAGGAGGAGAGCGGAGGGCGGAGGTCCCTTTTTTGTCTGGTCCCTCGTTACGGATATTGCTCCGTAATGTAATGACGATCGCTTATTCCGACTCAGTGTTTAATGCCGCCAATAGGTCGCCATATTCAAGTCATGTCGAGAGCGTATCTACTTCATCTCAGAAACAAATATAGCTCCTGGCATTACGATCTAGTGTTCCTTTTGCCAACAGTAAAGGTACAACGCATGCTAGACATGTTCTACTTCTTGCACAAATTGCTGAGCGGAATATTTTATTATCATCTTTTCTTTTTTGTTTTAAGAACTTCTCTTATTTTTAACATTTTAACAGACTTACTGTTAAATAAGACCAGTACTCATTTTGCAGTGAAAGTACCACGGTACAAGTAATGGGCTTGTTTTAAAGGATTACATTAAAAAAGCTTTTTGCTTCGCCTCGCACAATCTCCTCAGCGCTTTACAACGAGATTATTTACTACACGAGCCCGCTTGCTAATTAACTTAAAAAGCCTAATACATAAATAAATTCGAAGTTCCTTTGTCGGCCAGAAAAGAGCTCAATATTATGTTTTATTTTTATAATTACGTCAAAACATTGCACAGTACATAAGTAGATGTATTTTGTAAGGCACAGGCTGTACCTAAGCCTTTCTGAGTCATCGGCTGACGGATTGTAGACTAATTAATTACAAATTTGAATTTGAATGAGGTGAGGTCTCGGGGACGGTGCGGTACATGTAAGAGTGGTCCATTAATCTCGCATGGACGTCCCTGGCACGGAGTGCGGGACGTGTGTCCTTATGCATAATTACATTGGATCCCATCCGTCTCCGTCCTCTTTGTCCGCGGCCGCACTCCGCACCACATCTACGACAGACATCGGTCCACGAGTACCTAGTACCTAGCTATGTATACGTGTGTATATAGGTAGGTACGAGGACACGTTCTGCACTCAATTAAATGAATTCAGACACGTCTGCGTGCATCGCTTTACGCCATGCGCCAGCTGCAACAGACAACTACTTTACCCGTAGTACACTCTGCTTCAAGTCCTGCAGCTTCATGGATGATTGAACCGTTCAGCTAAAATATAGGGCGGCTGTAATTGTGGCCTAGCGTGGCACGTCGTTACTGTGTAATGAAGCCCGTCATATGAATTAATGTTCAGTGCGCACTCTTACGTCATCATTATGACAAGTTGTCAGCGGCCGCGGCCCGGAACGCTTTCACATTAAATTAAAACACAATCAAGTAAATGACTCGACGCTTTTAAAGTAACAGCGCTTAATCTAATAATGTACGGATAAATATTATGTTCCGCCACACTGAGCAAACTCGTTACACTCACTCACTGCCAGCTCCGTAATGAAATCAAAGTTTTTAGCTCAAGCATAGTTTTTGTGAATGTATAATTAAATGTGGGCTGTATATCTTCTCCATTAGGTAACTTAACCTCTATATTAGAAGCTCAGACGAGTTCAGGACGTGGATGTAATTAGTTCCAATAAACTCGGGTCTCCCACAGAGTACGTACTAATAACCCAGCGGTCGTTACGTGTACGCCTACGGTGGCACTATTCAACTGGGAACTGTATTAAGCAGCTGTCCACATATATTCTACACTGGCGACGATGTACTGCCAGTGTACCAGGACCACATACCAATAAGGAGGCCGTCACTTACAGCACCGCAGGTGAAGTATTGGCGCAGCGTATAGCGCAATAAGTAATAACAAAGCCGGGGATCGGCATCCCGGTTGCAATAACACTAACCCTGCACGACCTAGTTAGACCAGTACCCAAAGCACAATTAAACTAAAAGACGTTTCGAAAAACAAACACCCGAAAAAGCGTAACGAAGCAATTACTGGCGGCAAACGAGCGCCATTTTGTCGATGGAAACAGAGAAAAGAAATGGCTTCATTAAAATGTTCCTCTTTTTGCGAGTGGACAAACAACGCGAACCCGACCTAATATCCAACGAGTAACATTTATGTGCTGGTGCATCAAATACCTATCGAGATGTACCACGTTCCACGCATCACAGGCTGCGAACAATTAACTGATTATTTGTTACGTGTAAATATTTAAGTGAACCGTGCACTATCACATTAACTAAGACTACATTCTCTCTGAATCTCCGACACTGTACTGGCGTGATATAATATTTATTTAAGCCGCCGGCATCATTGCCAGCGCAAGAAGCTTCAACTTTGCCAAGTGGATCCTCAGTTTAAAGCGACTTGGCTACAACTGTAAGACGGAGTTAGAAATTGGGTAAACCGCTGGCAGACATCTGTAGCAGAGACATTAGCCGGCTAATGTATAGCGCGAGCTAATTGTACCGCGCGGATAGTGTAGCGGGGCCGTGTCGCGTGTCGGCGCAGGTGTCGGCAGATACAGATACTAATCACGTTTGTCATTGCGAGGGTTACACGTAATTGTATCGCAGCGAGAACCGAACATAACATGCTCGATGCTGATTCAATTAATCAACGAACGCGCTCATCTCCTGCGCCGAAAGAACACGGAACAGACATATGATATGAGCGCTTATTAATGTATTATCTCATAAATTTAATTTTACAGTGACAGGCAACGCGAACTGTGGGTTTTTGGAGTGAGATAACATTGCCTTAATTTGTCGTAAACCGGGCAGAGCGCAGGTAGAGCGAGCGTGGTATTAATGATGAAATATTCATGCGGAAACAATCTGCTGATGCCGGCGTCCACCCGCCGACTCGGCGGCCCGCGCTACCTCCGGCGCAGTTTAATTCGCACGCAAACTTAATGTAGCAGAATGTGAAGGAGCGGACCTCACCACATAGCGCGGGCTCCATAACAATAAGCATAATCTAAATGACTAGGATTTGTTCGACATGTGAGCTTACGCGTGGAGAGCTCGGAGGGGGCTCACTCGTGCGGCTCCACTGATTGCTCGGGGGTGCCGCACCCGGAGGATTCTTTTGAGGTCTTTTGATGCAGGAAAAGTATAAATCAGCAGACATTCCTCATATTTATATCCCACGCTAGACGTATGAATCAAGATCCGCCCGAGGGAAAACTCAATTTCACATCATTTTATATCCGTGCGTGTATCAATATTTTATAACCGTGATTTTCCTCATTCGTTTAAGCAATAATCAGTAAGCCCGGTTGTTGATCCTAATGTTTGGAGTTTGATGACTCTGTTACGATAAAACTTTTAAAGCTAAGGGTCTTTTTTTGTCATGGGAAAATCATCCAATGACTTCTCCCGCCCAGGGTAAGGCGAGAGGGAGTGTCAGACTCTTACTGACTAAAAACCCCCCGTTCCTTCTCTTGCTTCGGGGTTGCGGTGCCTCATTGCGCTAACCCCGCAACCCGGGAATGTTTGGAGTTGGATGACTCTGTTACGATAAAACTTTTTAGAGATAAGTGTCTCGGGTTTTTGAACCGAAAAATTGACAACAGTTTCAAGATAGAAGTAGTAAGTAGGAACTAGTAGTATTTCTAATAAAATAACGTATTTAACAGAAACTCGAGACATTAAGAAGTGCCTGAATATAAATATGTACATTAATCAACAATTGTACGAGTAGTAATGAACCGCTATGTACACATCTCTATTACAAACATCAACTCTGTTTTGCAAAAATTACTCATATAAAATACTAGCTTTTGCCACTGGAATCGTCGTCGTTATTTGGATAGAACGAAACTAATACATATAGAAAATTAATTATTATGTTTTTGTAGAAAATTAATAATTTGACGAGATACTCGACTAATTTCAAGCCATGTTAGAGGCCCATATTCTATGTAAGGCTCGAGGCTGCTATGTAGTAGCGCGACAGTCGCCGGAATGCTGCTCATGAATATGGTAAACATAATAATTAATTTAGAATTTCTCACGAAAGTTATACTACAAATATAATACATATAGTCACCAAAAACTACTCAGAAGATTTTACGTTAAAGTATAACAAACATCTTCCCAAAGTTTTGCATTTATAATGCAACTGCAACACTAATGTCAAATATCCTGTCAGAGATGGTGCAGATATTACAAACAGCAGCACTCGATAATAAGCACACGCATGACTCTCGCAGAACAAACGCGGCCCGCTGGAGCTGGTCAAAGCGAGAGTATCAAACACGAGAGCTCGTACAGGTCGTGCAGGCCACTCGCTGGAGGGCCGCATCGAGCGCCCGGCCAATTAGGGCCCACCACTTGCCCTGAGAGCTCTTCACTTACCCGCTTAGCCTCCGCCGCTTCTCCAGACGTCTACACTTAATCGCCAAGTTTATTATACCAAAACAAGTTATAATACGAGCGCCGGAACATTGTTCGACGTCTCGCAAACTTTCGGACAACATTTTCTTTGCAAGTCGTTATATCATGATCATGACGGAGATCGATCGTTAATCTAAAAGCTGGAGGAATTCTTTGATTCGGATCCCTTGCGACCGTGACATTACTCTGCTCGTATGTGTAGGCGTATAGGTAAGGACGCGGCTGTATATAGCGACAGCTTCGTCAAATATTCATCGGAGCACTTGTCGTGTTTATACATCATGTTTTATTGTCCCGCCGCCGACGGCGCTGGCCGGGGGAACCTTGGCACCCAGACTGTGACACCACCTTTCGTAAATACTCACTGAATAAATAAACTTACCGCTGTAAGAAGCACTCACAACAATTCTTAATTGAATACACAAAGCACACGGAGTTATTATATAAACAATTAAGCAGGCTATATGCAAAGCAGCAGTAAACAGCTCACTTGATACGGTGTTTGCTTATTTATTATTTAATGAATGCAAACTCCTTTGATACCTCTGACCCCGTTCTTTCCGCCTGGTACTTGTAAAATTAATTCAGTTTAGTAATTTAAATATTCATCACAAAATTTTACAATGCGATTCGTGACCTTTGTACATATCAAATTAATCAATTAATAGATTTTGCGGTTAGTTGTTAAACGCTTATTATATATAACACGCGGAGTATTTTGTATAGTCATTTTATGATGCAGTTTAATTAAATAAGAAGTTATGTTCATTCATTAATTAGCTGACAGAATGAGCACTGAGATATGCGTAGTCCAGATTATCGCAGGAACGTGCATTCCCTGATCGAAGTAGGTAAATTGATTAGTCGGATGGAAGTGAGAAATGCCAACAAGTGGAATTTGATAGCAATTTGCAAGCCAGTAAGCCTGTCCATCGCCGTCGTTCCAATTCACAGATCAGAATGAACATTCATCAATATTAACGGTGCTGTGTTGGCAAAGATTATCTCTGCCCGGAGTGACAGTGAGGCGAGCACTGTCACACACTAAGCGCGCTGGTATTGGCCCCTGTATTCCCGCGATATATTGCATAGAAAGCCGTTACAATCATGCAACTATAGCAGCGGGTGCGTGTTTCTGTATTTCCAGTATGTTGCTGAACTTATTAGAGTGCTAAAACATGTTGAATAAAAATTTGAATAATGGTTTGACTCATTTAACTACTTTTGACTCATCCAAAAATTCACTTTCAAAACCTTTTGTTGGACCAAAAATATAGAAAGTAATGTACGAATAAATGTAGGTGCGAGCAGTCCGTGGCGGGGGCGGACTGAGACTAACTAATCCGGAGCTTACATATCTCGATAAACTGTCCCATGGAGCGCTGGCGGCGTCATGATGAGTCGCTGAGTCTATCGGACCGAGTGTCTCGGAAGAATTGATTGAAAGTTAACGCGGTGTGATTAGTGGCCCGTGGTCGCCGAGACCCCGGCACTAAAATAATACCCAGCGACCTTGCTTTATGGACCGAAATCGATCATTAATGAAGGCATTCTGACCGTAACGTAACTAACTACGTTTCATTTTCATTCGCACTGAATTATTGCATATTTCATGATCATTTTGATTGGATTTTTTTATTAATAACAAGTTATATTTATTTTATCCATTTTATGTTTTACCTATATACAAAATGAACATGAAGAACACAATTTCAATAAGCTACGTGTAACTTTTCGGTAAAATTGAATTCATTACGTTAATTGCCTGCCAAAATGGATGACAGTGTGCGTGCAGGACGCGACGCGACTACACGTGACGTACTCGATTGAGCGCACACAATACATTATGGCAGCCCACGGGACGTTTGCATTTGTCAATATAAAACAATGTTTCTGATGCCGTCTCAATGAGAGCAACTTCAAAGTCGATCTACTAGGTACTGAACAGCACTAATTGTGACACAACTATTTACATGGTCCACAGCTAATAATTTGTATTATTTTCTAGAAAACTAAAAAAATATATCTCGGGAGCTTTCTTTTTTCAAAGGTGGTTTTATCTTGCTTTTCCTTTATTATGAATATTATCAAATAAACCTTATGTCATTAAACAATGACAGCCACCTGATCCCAAACTAGGATTTAAGGAACCTGCTGGAGGTATACTTTACGAATAACATGTACAGCGTCACGGGCCGTCCCTTATCAAAAAACCCTCATCACCCGTTACAAAACCGAGCAAATAATCCGAGACCACTTGTGGTTACAATAAATATGATATTCTGTGTAGTTTATGTGCGCCTAGTAACCAGACATGATAAAGGTTTACGGTTTGTGTGGACCGTAATGAATCATAAACAAAATTACCTCAGGACGACAATGAGATTTGATTATTTCAATTTTATTCGGAGGCAATAAAAACAAATCATGCCTTTGTGTGGATACGCGACGAAGGCACAAACAAAATAAATTGGCTTGCGGTCTACGGCCCCGTATATTGTATGATTAAAATGTAAAACAGTTTTCTCTTGGAAAAAATGTTCGTATAAAAACTTGAGCAGATTTACATAGGAAAGTTGTAGCATGTCGACGTCTCGGGACACGGAGAAGTTCACATGTTGTACCCCGCCGGGGACTGGAGGCTAACGAGAGTTCAATACAACATAAGTATGAATCAATTTATCAACATCCGCCGCTGACGGGAGATTTTGTGAAATTCGCGAACAGTCGAGGCGAGTCGACTGGGGCAAGTTCTTGTCACATAATAAAGGTCGAGTGAGCCGATAATAAAGTATTCTTATTTTTACGCCATTAACCCGCTCGTGTGTGGATGATGATAAAAGTTACTTTAGCGTCGTTCAAAAGCGATTTTTAAGTGGCATAACGATACTATAAAGGGGTTGGTAAAACCCCTCCGCTATTCACAAATAATAATAAAGAGGCTCCGAAACTGGAATGTTTACAAAAACATTTACCTTGCCGTGTATTCATTTAGCGTGAACATACTCACAGCGATTACATTACACTCGCAGGTAGATTGCTTCGTCTTATTACTTGCGCCGTATATTTGTGTTGCCAGCGTATTACATCAACATTTTTTTTGACAAAAATTAAGTGCAAATCTGTGTTATTACAGGCATAATTATAGGTTGGCAGACAAGCAGACGGTTTACCTCGTGGTAAGCAACCAACGCTGTCCATGAACACCCACAACAACGGAGGAGCTACAAGTGCGTTGCCGACCTTTCGGGGTATTAGAGATTTGGAGATTTTGGAGTGGGAGCGGGAGAGGAACGATTGGGCTTCCGGTAACCTCACGCACACGGCGAGACCAAGCGCTGTGTTTGTTTCGCGTCAGTTTTCTATGAGGCCGTGGTATCTCTCCGGTCGAGCCGACCATTAGTGTGAAACCATAGTTCACCCACACTTAATATCTGTAATGCAGAGATTCTATAATCAAAGCGATAATGTTGTCCAGCTCAACTCCAAAGCTATCAAGTTCCAGTCATTTGCACTAAAACATAGCACAGAACGGTATTAAATTACCTACGAAGTAGGATACGTGGATACACGTCTAGCTGGATATATGCATGTGTACCGGTGTATTGTTAGGAGGTGCAATCTGGACCGGTCACGTTGCCATGCAAGCTGTCGTGTGAGCCGCGCCGGTTCATTTCGATACGATTTATCTCTGCGCAGTACGGGCCGCACCGACATGCGACATGCTGCAAACGTATTTAGTAATGTGTTGCCCCTTAAATGTCAAGCTCTAACATATTGTGAGCTGTGAAATAAGTAGCTAGAAGGAGGAACTATGTAAATTCACTATATCGCTAGTCGAGTCGTCAGACAAACAAAGTTCACTTGTGACATGCAGTATTTTAATTCACAAGGTGACTGCATGCTTATAACATTACACTTTATGAATTAACCACAATTTCCAGTCCACAATTAAACTAAGCATTTTCACAACGAGCGTTATCATTATTTAAGTCGAGTTTCGGCTCCAAAAAGCGGTTAACAACATAATCCTTTGAATAAATAATGATCAGCTTTGAGCGTACGACTGGATGTTGCGCGGATGTTAACATTACATTTGCATGATACGTGTCTTTTACGTGGCGATGGCGGCGCTAACGAAGGCAAACAAGTAGCTAATTATGTGTGCAGTGCACTTGTTTACAACTAAGTACGTGTCACCAACAAAAGGTAATTACCAAGGCACCATAACAAGCAAGGCGGCTCACACGCGACACTGTTCTGAATGTCAATTAAGTAAAGTTTCGCATTATGGACCCTTGGGTAATAATGAGTTGTTAGTGGCCCAGCCTATCTAGGTAAATTCCTAAACTGCAGCAACTTTTCTCTATTGATCCAATTCACGCATAACGTATTTTGAAAGTCAACACAAGAAACACGTTGAAAATGCTGTAATATCAAGAGTTCGTTAAAAGGTTGAAAAATATTAAAATAATGATGATAAATACTGGGAAACCATAAAACGGTGGGTTAGTAAAGGCGATCCATCACGAGTCGCTCCTCAATTACACCGGGACACGGTGACTGATGACAGCCCGCTGGGACGTCACGCCACTCATGAAAAATATGCACTGAAAACTTCAGGCAACTTTACAAACATTTAGAATCCGACGTATTTGATTAATGTCTCGATATCTGAACATATCCAGACACTCTCCTTGAGTTGAAGACTTGAGGAAGATACAGCACACTTATGTCTCAGTTCTACAATTATGTATTGATACAGTTACATAAACAAAAACGCTTTACATTCACATAAAGGAGATAGAAAAACAAACAAAAAAACATTTGAAAGTATTAGGTTTTTATTTAATTCAACTAAAAGCTATATCTTATCCGAACTAATATTATAAATGCATCTGTCTGTCTTTTTTTCACGCATAAACTACTAAACCGATTTCTTTTGGAATTTGATACAGACATAGTTTGGAACTCGAGAAAGGACTTAGGATAGTTTTTATA